CTGCTACTGCTACTGCTACTGCTACTGGTATTGGTATTGGTATTGGTATTGGTATTGGTATTGGTATTGGTATTGGTATTGGTACTGGTACTGCTGCTACTACTACTACTACTACTACTACTACGACTACTACTAATATCCTACATGCAAGGACACGTTTTAATTTGTGCCTGTTAGGGTAAGTTAGGGTTCCTTTTGTTGTTGGGTTTTGGCGATTAGAGCTCATAGGGGTTGGTGTCGTCGGCTTCATCATTTGGCTGGTGACGTTGGGGGTTTCGGGTGGGCTGGAATCGGTGTTTTCTGCCTGATACCTGATCCGGCTTGACCCATAACCAGAAGTAGACATGACAAGAGGCCAATACCCATTCTTATAAACAGCCCTGAGAGCCTGACTCACACATAAAAGCTATGCCAAAGCACCAAAACCTGCAAAACCCTTTGCATAATCCTCATAAACAAACGACAGAACGACACCCCCCTTCCCCCCCCTTCCGGGGCCCCCTCCCAGCTTTATAAGCCTTAAATCCCTCAACCGTAGACTGCAAACTGCAAACCCTAGCCTAAACCGTTAAACCCTACTCCGCAAACTGCAAATCCTGAACCCGAGAGCCATAAACCCCAAACCACAAACTCAAACCCTGTACCGCATATCCTAAAGCCGTAATACCCAACAAAACCCAAATAAAACATAGAAGAGATGCATGACGAGGTTCGAAACCGACTCGCCGGTACGGTGCATGACGATGCTGCCCCCTGGAGCTTCCTTAACAGGGGTTCCTATAAGAAGGCTTTAGGGTTTAGGGTTTAGGGTTTGGGGTTTAGGGTTTAGGGTTTAGGGTTTGGGGTTTAGGGTTTAGGGTTTAGGGTTTAGGGTCCCAAAAAGGTAGGGTTTAGGTTTCAGGGATTAGGGCATGAGATGCGTGCAGGATAGCTCAGATATTCTCTTTGAGGTATATCTCGTTTCCTGAATCGCACAACCCCAAATCAGGAGCCCGCGGCCTTGAAACCTAAATGCCCTAATGTAGGGGCCTAAATAATTACGGTTGGCAGCCATGAGCCTATCCCATCGGCAGTGTACCTGTAGATGTCTTGTATGGGAGGTTTGAGGCTCCTATTGCCCTACGAAACCCTAAACCTAAACCCTCCACATCCTAACCCGAGTACTCTCCGGCCTAAATACCAAACTGCTGGACACTGTACTCCACCCTCAGATAAACCCCAAAGCCCGGATACCCCCGAGCCCTAAAGCCGAAACCGTACAAGCCCTGTAGAAGCAATAATCATAAGCCCAAAGCGCTCTACACTGCACTCTGAGGCTCCTGATACTCGCCTACACTCCGTGTGATGGCTGCTTCAGAGCTTCGACAGCAGGGACCGCTTTGGGCTTGGACTTCAGTATAAGGAGTCATTACGGAAGCAGCAAGGATGTTCGGCACGGAGTCCGAGAGGTGGAGGCAGATGCTGCCACCAACCCTAAGCCCTAAACCCACTTTGGCTTTGAAGTAGTCCCTATTTGGGTACTTTGGGGCCAAAGTATATACTATCTGGGTACATGGACCATTAGGGATTGCTATACCTTACACTTTTACGCGAGCATGGTAATCTCTAGAATTTGAAGTCTTGGGGGCTTAACTGTGAACTCGGCAACTAAGCTAGGGTCCCTTACCGGGGGTTCCGAAAAGCAACCCTAAACCCTATGATTTTAAAGGTACCCTTCAGAAACATAGGGTCGCTTGCGGGGGTTCCTAAACCTTAAACCCTAAACCTTAAACCCCTAAACCCTAAACCCGTAAACCCTAAACCCCAAACCCCTAAACCCTAAACACCAAAACCCCTAAACGCTAAACCCTAAACACCTAAACCCCTAAACCCTAAACCCCTAAACCCCGAAACCCCTAAACCCTAAACCCCTAAACCCTACACCCCTACACCCCTAAACCTCAAACACTAAACCCTAAACTGGTACCCTTTAGAAGTATAGGGTCCCCACATCACGGGAGCGAAGTTTCTGACGCCAGGTGTCGTGCGCCACAAAGACCTTTCCTTGTGGGCCAAGTCCTTGCGGCGCGTCTGCCAGAGCCAGGGGTTAGGGTCCTTTGCAGGTATTTTCAGGGTGCTTTGAAAGGCTCAAGTCGGATCCTGTAGGAGTAAGACTTTGAGGATTATGTAGGGTTTACCTAAACCACCGAAAATACATAAAATAATCCCACCCACCTATAAAAGCCTAGTGTTCTAAATGGCTTTTGGGGTCCAGGTAGGACTTCGTATAAAGACCTCGAGGTTTCTCTGGGATTTGATCTTTTGCCCTCGGAGAGAGAGAACGCGAACCCTATCAACATCTCACTCACAATGCCCTAGGGTTTAGGGTTTAGGGGTTCAGGGTTTCGGTGCTAGGCTTCAAAACCTATATTAAAAAATCTAGAACATTTAGCCCCGTATAACCTAAATGAAATCTCTGAATCCGCATTTTTTTCGAACCCTCAACACGCCCCCCCGCTCCGGGAGATGACAAAGGTTCAACTCATGAAGGCCTCTTACCCTACCCCAACCCCGTCATAAAGCTTAGGGTTTAGGGTATAAGGATCCAAAGGATGCACCACGTGGAGCCTAAACCCTAAACCCCCGATACAGGAGAAGTGGTTGCTTCAGGCCTTACCCTATAACCTTCATAAATCACTTCTAGGCCCCTGATAGATCCCTTTCAAGGCCCTATAAAGAATCCATGGGAGGGTCTTTTGGGGGCTTAAAATCTCCTTGTAGCAGTCCGGAAAACTACCAATACTACGCAGTCCTTCGGTTTCCTTGTATCACTATAGGTTATGGTTTGCACGCCGTCTGCATCTTAATCATTCAGGCCCCCCATATAATAGTCTGGAGCCTCCAGAATGGGGTACTTGAGGTTTAGGGTAAGGGCCATGCAAGACGCTTCAGGGATGAGGGTGTAGGGTAGGTATTTAGGCCAAACCCTGCACCCGAAACCCTTCAACATTAAACCCTGATCCCTGCACCCTCGAGGTCCCCCGCCAACCCTGAACCCTAAACCCTAAACCGGGGTTTAGGGTTTAGGGTTTAGCCCTGAACCCTAAACCCTAAACCCTGAACTAAGGTTCCGCCTTCACATGAGCTTCCTCTACTTCTGGGCCGGCCTCTTCAAAGTCCAAGGAGACTGGCTGAAGCTGGACGGGGGCACTTTGTACAAGGACCCTGTCTGGGTAGGGTTTAGGGTTTAGGGTTTAGAGTTTAGGGTTTAGGACCCTTTCTGGGTAGGGTGGGGGCACTGTGTACAGGGATCTCTTTCAAGGGTCCCTAAACCCTAAACCCTATAAACCCTAAACCTAAACTTTTAAACCCTAAACCCTAAACCACTTTCCGGGTTGTATACAGGGCTTTCGGGGGGGGGGGGAAAACGGACCCCAAAGGGAACCCTAAAAGGAATCCCAACAGGAACCCTTAGGGGTAGGTTTTACTTGGAGGATGATGGGACTTAGTAAGTAAGGTTATAACTACGTTAATTGGGGTTATAATCACGTATACGTATAGTTACTTTATTTATAACCTTAGTTACTAAGTCCCATGATCCTCTAAGTAGGGTTTTTGGGGCACCTAAGGGCCTTTTTCTTGGGTTCGATGGGGCTTCCTTTCGAGTTCTTGTGAGACCGTCTCTAGGTTTAGGGTTTAGGGTTTTGGGTTTAGGGTCTCTAGGTTTAGGGTTTAGGGTTGAATCGGATTTCGTATGGGTTTTATAAGGGTTCCACAGAGGATACAGAAAGTCAGGTTGTGGGTTTACAAAGCTTAGGGACCGGGGTTAGAGGTTCTCATGTAGGGGCCTAGAAAAATAATTACCAATACTATTTTGGCGGCTCCTTGTTGCAACTATAGTATAATGGGCCAAACCCTAAACCCTAAACCCTAAACCCTAAACCCTATTCCATTATTAAGGCCCTATATTGCAGCTTAGGGCTGAGGCTTTAGGTTGTAGATACGGTTTAGGGTTTAGGGTTTAGGGTTCAGGGTTTCGGGTTTAGGGTGTGTTGTTTGGGCACCCTCTACAACGACGGTTTATGGTAGAAGGTTGAGGGACACTTTGTAAGAGTTCTATGATATGGTGTCCCAAGGTTTCTATAGTGGTTCTACAAAGCTGCATGGCGGGCGTTTATGAGTTTTTGGGTTTCCATCTAACAGTCAGGTTTCTATACGGATCTCTACGATAGGGTTCGACAGAGGGCAGTGAGGGTTCTGTGCTTCCCGGGTTATCTAACCTTCAGTTCTTCTTTCGTTTCTATGGGTATTCGAGGTGTAACTTCCCAGCAGAATGGGGTGGGTTTAATGGTTTAGGGTGTTCACGGTCTAGTGTGGATGGTTTAGGACAGTTTAGGGGTTCACCAGCTGATGCAACATCGCCTGCCATGTTCAAGAACCCCCATGTCAGCCCAAAAATGATTCCAAGTACCTGCATAGTGAAAAGTAGCGTTCCTTTTATCAGAAGTACTATTAACATTATCACGGTTTGGGTACGTATTCCCCAAACACGTACTTACCGAGACCCTTAGATGTAGCACTTGTGGTTACCCTACTTTCTTTTTGCAGGATCCTAACCATAAAACAAGTCATCCAATAAAAGGTACTACATGTAAGAGCCGGTATAGGATGCTTTGCATCCATGACTACCAGAAAGCTCCGGCCTTTTCGCTCAGGACATCCATTTGCTGCGGGACTCGCCCCTCCATGGCGTTCTCATGTTTTTCCTTCGCACCGAGGGCGCCGTGCGCGCAGCCACCACGGCCGCTAACCTCGAAGCCCCAAATCCTATGTAGGCCTTACTAGTGTTGACACCTTAATTTAAAGGCCTCTTAAACAAGATTCCTCAACACCGAAAACCCTAAACTCTAAACCCTTAACCCTTCTAACCCTAAACCCTAAACCCTAAACCCTAAACCCTAAACCCCTAAACCCCTAAACCCCTAAACCCTAAACCCTAAACCCTAAACCCTAAACCCGTACCTGTCAACACAAGCCCTGAAGCGCAAAGCCCAAGCTTAAAGCCTCAGTCTGCAAGGCCCCCAAGGCCCCACGTCTCCCGCTCCGGAGAACGCTGGACGGTTTAGGGTTTTAGGGTTTTAGGGTTTAGGGTTTTTGAGTTTAGGGTTTTAGGGTTTTAGAGTATAAGGGTTTTAGAGTTTTAGGGTTTAGGGTTTAAGGTTTAGGGTTGAGGGTTTTAGAGTATAAGGGTTTTAGAGTTTTAGGGTTTAGGGTTTAAGGTTTAGGGTTGAGGGTTTTAGAGTTTTAGGGTTTAGGGTTTTAGGGTTTAGGGTTTAGGGTTTTAGGGTTTAGGGATTAGGGTTTAGGGTCTAGGGTTAGCGGACCCCAAATGCTCACTTGAATTCAGGGACAACTGCACATGTAGCAGGTTTCTAGGTACAGAAGCCATTCAGAGAACAGGTTTTGTGGCTACCCTAAAGCCTAAACCCCAAACCCGAAACCCTCAACCCTAAACCCTAAACCCTGCTATTTGGGCCTTGAGCCCTAAACTCTCAATGTCAAATACTACCCAAAGCTCTGATAAGGCCTAGAACCCTGAACAAAGGGATACTAAGCGTCGAAGACGGTTCAAAGGCTTCAGAGGGCCAAGCTAGATTAGATTCTATGTATATGAGTATTTCTCCAAATTGGGTTTCCTTATTACGCCCTCAAAATAGGACGGCACCCTCATCAACCATTATAGAAAGGCTTCTGAAAGGGACCCTAACTTAGATAACTACCCTAAACCCAAACCCCTCAACCCGAAACCCCAATTTAGAGAACTGCTCAGAGACAAACCCCTCAACCCGAAACCCCAGTTTAGAGAACTTCCCATAGAAAAATCCTTCAACCCGAAACCCCAATTTAGAGAACTACCCAGAGAAAAACCCCTCAACCCGAAACCCCAATTTAGAGAACTACGTACCCATAGAAAAACCCCTCAACCCGAAACCCCAATTTAGAGAACTACCCATAGAAAAACCCGAAACCCCAATTTAGAGAACTACCCATAGAACAAGAGCCCAGCCTCAGGCAACCGCCTGGTTAACTGTTGCTATCGAGCTCCTACTCGTGTCCAGGGCGGCAAAGAGGAGGATTTATTTGGGGCTTGGGGGTTTCTGGAGCAGTATCTAGTCGAGTTCGGTGTTTAGAATCTCCGAGGAAACCCACCCACCCAGAAAATCCCAACACATTAAGAAACCAATAGCTGTACTTTCATCTAAAGTTTTAAAGTATTCGACGCAAAACCTTAAACCACAAACCCTTACCCCAGAACCTTAAATCCTAAATCCTAAAGGCCAGACCGTAATTGCAAAACACCGGTCCCGGACAGACAGCAATGTCAGAAACACCGGTCCCGACAGACCGCAATTGCAAAAACACCGGTCCCGACAGCCCGCATTTTCAATAACATCGATCACGGCAGACCGCGATTGCAAAAACACGGTCCCGACAGATTGCAATTTCAAAAAGACCGGTCCTGACAGACCACAATTTGAACAACACCGGTCCCGACAGACCACAATTTCAATAACATCGGTCACGGCAGACCGAAATTGTAAAAGCACCGGTCCCGGACAGACCGCAATTGCAACAACACCGGTCCCAAGACGAACCGAACTCGCAAAACCTGTGTATGTGTGTGTATATATATATATACTTATCTATTTATTGTTCATATATATATATATATATAGGAAACAGAGGGTTTAAAATTTGGGGTTCAGTGTTTAGGGTGTATTTGGTGTTTGGGGTTTAAGGTATAGGTTTTGGGCTTTGGCGTCTAGGTTCTTAAACGCCTTCCTTTAAGGGCCTGTGGAGGGTTTTTAGGGTTGTTTGAATTTAGGGTTTAGGGTTTAGGGTTTACAGTTTAGAGTGCGAAGCGACACCAACCCTTGTGTGCTTCAGTACTAATGTTCCCTGATGTTACTCACAACACATTGCAGACAAAAGGACCCTTACAAGCACGAGACCCTAAACCCTAAACTCGAAGCCCTAAACCCATAAGCCCTAAATCGATCCCTGCCTGGTAATGGGGCCTTGAGCCTTTCTCAGGTACATCCTATCCTTAAGTCAGAGATGCATGCATGTGAGAAGCGCTTTTCACGCCTGCGCGACTGGCGCACTTTAGACAGATCCTCGCTGACGTGACAGAGAATCTGCTTGTTACGATGCTTGTGCTGTATGTGTATGTGTATATATATATACATTTATATATATATAGATATATATAATTATACACATATGTATATATGTATATGTAGATATTAAATGTTTATACATATATATATATATATAAGGATACCGGTACACGTATACATGTATACATGCATGCATACATAACTATACAGATGCAAGCAAACAAACAAACATACATACATACATGCATACATGCATACATACATACATACATACATACATACATACATACGTACATACATACATACATACATACATACATACATACAGTAATACATACGTGTGTGTATATATATATACATACAGATACTTATGCGTACATATATATAGATATATATACACATACATGTATAGATATGTACTTGCGTATATTTACATTACATATATATATATATATATATATAGACATATAAATATAGAGAGAGAGAGAGAACATTTTCGGACCATAACCGAGAGCCGGCGAATCATCTGGAAGCCAGGGAAGTCAGATTTACCCGGAAACTAAACCCCAAATTCAGAGCGCATGGGTTTAGGGTTTAGGGTCTGGACCAACCGAACATTTCAAGTAGTAAGGCGCATAATCCTCTGAATCCTCTGTTCAGGATACCCTGCAAAGTCTTGGTAGGGTTTGGGGTTTCCGGCAACCCTAAACCCTAAACCCTGAACACAGAGGTCTCGGGCTTGGGATCTACAAGTTGAGGATGTCAGGTCTAATTAGGTTGAATCTTACGGTTTAGGGTTTAGGGTTTAGTGTTTAGGGTTTAGGGTTTAGGGTTTAGGGAATCTTGATGGGAACATGGAGATGGTATCCAGGTGAGACAATGGACCTGGTACGTAGGTTATAAATTAGTGCCGCAAGGGGTATTTGCACGGTCACTTCAGGCTAACTTTCGAGGTCTGCTGATCCAATGAACCCTAGACGTCGTAAACAATTCTCCAAAGCGTGGACCTTACTGCCATTATAACCATCATAATCGGGCAAAGGGATCTAACTTTCCTTCTTGCAACCTAGGCCTTTGCGCTCTGGAAGAAGTCGTGGCACTTGCCCGTTTCGTGGCTGCCAGCTTGTTGTCTCCTTGTGCTAGGGTTCAGGAGGGAGTACTGAATTATCGAGGGCATGGAGAGATTGATATTAAGTTCAGGAGTTGTGATGAACTAGTGTTCCTGGGCTGTGATTCTTGCCTGTTCGATTCATTTCCCACAAAAAAAACTATACACAGTGACATGCCGCTAGTTTGATTCATGGTTCACGGGCTTCCCGTGGGGCTTCGCCGTTGAATGTCTAGGTTGAGGCCAGGGGCTTGGTTCCCGGATTTGTCATAGCGCATCTAGGAATATTCTCTCGGGGCGACCATCACCTAAACCTTCACACCGCCAGGGGGCATAGTTGTTGAGTCTGCTGTCCCAGGTAGCATTAGCATACTAGCCGCCATCGTCCTCGTCTAGAAGTAGTGGCAATTGTCGTCGTCGTAGTAGTAGTAGTAGTAGTAGAAGAAGAAGAGGTAGTAGTTGCAGTAGTTATAGTAGCAGCAGCAGGAGGAGAACGAGCACGAGCAGGAGCAGCAAAAACCCGAGCAGTATCAGAAGTACAAAGTCGCCTACTAATCTTGGGAACAGCTGCAGCAGCAGGTGAAGGAGAAACGGATTGCACTTCTTCTGAAAGTTATAAGGCTCATCAGAATGGCTGCGAGAATATCAGGCATAGCGCGTGTGGCTCTTGATTTGGCTCTACTGTCAACTTTTACATCACCATGTAAAGTCCCAAATGCAAGGCCATCATTGGTGCTGGATTCCTTCATTTGGCCACCGGGACCAAGCTGGAACATCTGCCATTGTTTTTGTTGGGGGCCATGGCTTCGCTGGCCCTAAACCCTAAACCCCAGACCCTAAACTTCGCTGGCTCTACAGCGATGTTTCAAGCTCACCGTTTTGTACCTGGCCCTTTATGGTCGAATAAAGGGGCCTTAATAATTACAATAGGGTTTTGGAGGCTCCTTAGTATAATCATAGTATTATACGCCCCAAAACCTTATGCTAATTCTGAAGGCCCCTATATTAACAGGGTTTCTAAGATTCTAAGCTTTCTATACCCAGATTCCCAGAGGTTCCATATATGCTATATACCATTATGGAACGTGGCCAATACCCTATGCTCTTTACTCAGGCATATTCTAATTATTACCTGTGGCCCAAGAGGCCTACCTTCTTGAACTTTTAAACCCTAAACCCTAAACCCTAAACCCTTGAGGAGCTATATATAGTAACCATAATAAGGAATCCTCAAAAGGTAGGTCTTTTCGGCTACATGCAAGGCCCCTCCATTAGGCCGGTGGTCGGGTTTCGAGTTCTCCAGGTTGGCTGTGGGTTCAGGATTTCAGGGCCCAGGTTCAGGCCAATGCTAGGGTTTAGTCTTTAAGGGGGGTTAGGGTTTAGGGTTTAGGGTTTAGGATTTAGGGTTTAGGGTTTAGGGTTTAGGGTTTAGGGTTTAGGGTTTAGGGTTTAAGGGGGGTTAGAGCAGATGCCGTTGTTTTCGTCGGGGAGCCTTTAGCCTCAAAGCTGCCCGTCGGAAGGGTTTAGGGTTCAGAGGTTTGGGGCTTAGAGGCCTTAGGGTCTATGGGTTTAGGGTTTAGGGTTTAGGGTTTAGGGTTTAGGGTTTAGGATCATAGTCAGTCTGGTAGTCTGATTCGAAGGAATTCTTCGCAATTGCCGGATAAATTCATTCTGATCCGGCCGGAACCAGGCAAAGTTCGTGTGAACTTGTTCTATCCACAGCATGCCTCGGATAACTTCTTGGGTGCCGGAGACATGTGGGCATGAAAGGAGGTGCTGAACACAGAGGCTGAAGTAAATCCCGTTTCAATCGGGGTTCCGAATCATTAACGGCAACTACTCCAAATAAAAATTCGCCCCAAACCTTATTCTAGCGCCTGCACTACAAATCCCCACCATACAACCCTCCTTATGAAGACCCTTATAGAGATCATTCGAGGAACCTTGTTCTGATTGCAAAGGCCCCTAGTTCTCTAAAATAGGCTCCCTTTTGGGGTCCTTTTTTGTAAGGGTGCCGTACTATATTGGGGATCCAAAAATGGACCCTAATTTAGAGAACTACCTAGACCCTAAACCCAAAACCCCAAAACCCCTCTAAACCCTAAACCCTAAACACTGCTTGGTGTCTGGGCGAAGAGTCAAGAGTAGGGTTGGCCGTCTTGGAGGTCCGCCAGTGAAGGCCCGACAGGTGATAGCTTCTTTAACGGGGTTCCTATCGAAGGACTACGGTTGAAGATAAACCCTAAACCCTAAACCCTAAACCCTGAATGGTATGGGGTTCCTGGCTAAGACTTTCGAGTAGAGGGCCCCGCCCATCTTTTGTCAGAAGGACCACCCGGACCTAAGCGTCCCCAAACCCCAAACCGAAGCAGCCTGAGCCCAAAACACCCTGAAAGGATGACTTTGAAGTCCAAATTCATGAGTAATTACATTGATGATATATATCCTGCATACCCATAATATGAAAGAATACCATAATTCGCATAGGTTAGGGTCCTTTTCAAGTACCCCAAGGGTCCATGTACCGAACTAGCATATACTTTTGATATTCCTTTGAGGCCAAAGTATATACTATTGTTTGGCACATGGACTCTTAGGGTTACAGTTGTGCAATATACATACCGCAAGGCCTTATCCCAGTTAATATGCACCCATCTCGTATTTGTTGGTCCGGTTGCTGGTTTCGCACGGAGAGTAGACGGATCCCGAAGGGATGTCAGGCGTGTTTCGGGGCTAGAAGCTAGGGATCAAGGACTATAGGCTCTACAGGAACTTTACTTCGGGTAATTCAACTATGGAAATCCAGAAGACTGCAAGCTTGAAAAACGCAGTAGCTGCGGCCTCTTTGATTCCACGTGTTGGTTCTCATTGTGGCCATTTGTGCCTGCAGTTCTGCGTTTAAGTACCGATCTTGAGTTCTACGTGTTCAGCGTTTTGTTCCCTCCGTGCTGCTTTCATTAGGCGATGAGCTGCATCTGCGGCGAGTTGGGCCACAATGATGCAATCAGTTCACACGTGGTGGTAGGTGCATTGAAGCGTTCCGTCAGAACTGGTCGGGTTGCTCCACCCCATGTCTTTGCGTGTGCATGCGCGTGCGTGCATGTGTGTTTGCTCAGTCGTACCCCTAATACAGATGAAACCGAACCACTAGAAGAACCCCTGTCAGTATTTATGGGAACCCTAGTACCTAAAGCATATGATAATGAAGATCCCGGGAATCCCTGAAGGCGGCATTAGGGTTTAGGGTTTAGGGTTTAATGCCTGAAGGCCCAGAAACGCAGAAAAGCGAAACTCACCTGTAAAGACTCACTTATTCGGTCTTGAAACAGCTGAAGATGTAAGGCTCCGACACAAACTACTACGATGGAATTAGGTCCCCCAAAGCCATGATTAGGCCTCGTTCCATAATGGTAGCATATATGGAACCTCTGGCAATCTGGGTATAGAAACCTCAGGAACCCTGTTAATATAGGGGCCTTAATAATTAGAATAGGGTTTTGGGGGTATATTCTACTATAATTATAATCAGGAACCCCCAGAACCCTATTCTAACTATTAAGGCCCCTACGTTAACGAATCCTCTCTCAACGGTTTTACAACCTACTCGCACTCACTAAGTCTCCGGATCCTCAAAGCAAGCCCTGGTCGAGGCCCCTCAAGCGCAATCCCTGCAACAGATGTAAAGCACACCTAAAGCCAATCCGAAACCCTCAAATTAGTTCTCCAATAGCCAACCTTTAAATTTTTGGGTTCGTCTAATGTAGTAGAAAGCAAAAATTGAACCTTGAATTTTCCTGGCGTCTTGGGGAAATGAGCAAACCAGAGCCATAGAGTTGGAACATTATAGTGCTCATGCGCTTAAAGTAAAGCATAACGGAAGACCCATGTTCCAACTTTCTGGGGTGTTTAGACCCGAAACCCTAAACCCTCCTTCCTCTAAGCTCTAAACCCTAAGCCCCTCTTTCCCCTAAACCCCAAACCACGAAACACAACACGGCTAAACCCCCCAAGGAGGCTTCACCCAAGCCGCTTGGATCGGTCTTCTTGGAAGTTTGGAGGACGACCGCTTGGAGCCTCCTCGTACTAGAAGCCGCTTTGAGGTTTAGGGTTTTCTGGGTCCTTGTTGGATAAAAATTTTACGTTTTTGTTATATATAAAAACCCACTCAGGATTTAAGATGGACACTTTTAATATGCCCCATCAGGGAATCAGTTTAGAGTTTGCGGATTAGGGTTTGGGGTGTTCAATGGCTTTGGAAGCGTTGTTCATTGGATTTGTCAGAGCTTCACCATCCAAGTTGGTTGCTTCTGGGGGATTCAAGATGGGTTTTGTTTATGGCTCTACAGCTGACTTAGTAGTTAAAATTTTCAAGTAAGAATACTGATGACTAGACTGATAACCCTAATTAAGGTACCTATTTCCCTACTAAATAAGTCCCATGATCCTCCAAGACTTGAGCCCTAAACTCTAAACTGTATTGGTTCCTTTTGGGACCTTGGGTACACCCTAATTTCGCGATTTAGGGGCTTAGGGTTTAGGGTTGCCCTAAACCCTCAGCCCCCGAACTCTTAGAGCAATGCCTCGCAGGTTTTGGTAATCATGCTTATTTGGAATATGCGCGGTATTAGTAGTGAAAGTTGTCAGCACATCTTTAGTATGTGGAGTCGACCCGGCAGTTTTTGTATTACTCCTTGAGCCACTAAGGAGAAGTTCCTTTCGAACTCGCGCAACTTCGCTGTCACCGCCGCGAGCTGCATCATCGTCATGGCACTCATCGGTTGGGCTTTCTGACATGTTGAAGAGAGCAATCATGGCTCTGATAGCAGCCTCAGGGTCTACAAAGTTGGGTTTAGGGTTTAGGGTTTAGGGTGTAGGGTTTAGGAAGGACAAGGATGATGGACAATACCCTCCAAAATGCCGCAGTTAAGATGATTTACTGCCTTGGAGGGTTTTTGGTGCAATCCACGGACCTGTCGATGAGTTCTGGGGTAAGTAGGTCTGTTACACATCGAATTTGTATTAGGATCGGTAGATGCTATCGGTCTAGTTATCTTTCTGCCTAACTTTCTACCTGTCTATCTCGCACCAACAAGGGTTCTTGCGTGGGGTAGGAGCACTGTGTCGAAAGCCACGCCGGGCCGTCGTAGCAGCACGGAAGGCTTCGGAAATGAACGCAGCTGTAGGTTTCAAGTTTTGGATCTGCGCGACTCATCGCGCTTTCCAGCCGTGTCATCGGACCTTCCCATCACCAAAGCCCTAAAGTTTAAAAACCTAAACCCTTAGCAACCATCATCCCACAACACTAAGAACCCTAAACCCTGAACCCTCCACCTTAAACCCTTAGCAACCATCATCCCACAACACTAAGAACCCTAAACCCTAAGCCCTTAGCAACCATCATCCCACAACACGAAGATGTTTGCTCACCCTGCTTGCGGATCCCCACCTCCATCGAAGAACAGCACTTAGGATTTAGGCTTTAGGGTTTAGGGCTGGTCTTCCTGCTGACTGCTCTTTTATGCTACTGCTGCGTGTGCTACTCCAGCAAATGGTATCAGGCGTGGCAAGGGTGCTGACAGTTTCTGTGGCGATGTGGGCGACGGAATCAGATGTTGAATGCTGTGATGCTGCTAATTTAAGGGCCTTAATCATTAGAATAGTGTTTTGTGCCCATTATGCTATAATTGTAGTAAGGGTTCCCCAAAATGGGGGTTTCCGAAAATAGGGGAGCCTAATATAGTACCCTAAATAATAGGATCCGTATTATAAGGACCCCAAAATAAGGTACCCCCTATAATTGGAAAGTCCCAAATAGTATAGATAATTAGTTGGTGCCCCTAAACCCTAAACCCTAAACCCTAAACCGCTGGTGATCAGGAAGTTTCAGAAAGGAACCGCGACTGCGCCTGGCTTCGGTGATGTAGACCCTTGTCTTTAGGGTTTAGGGTTTAGGGTTTCCCTTGTCATGATCGTGCTGATGAAATTGTCCCTTAGGGTCCATGTGCCCAAAGAGTACTGGCTAGTTCTTTAAATTAGTATCTCTTTTGGGGTCCTTGTTATAAGGGTGCCGTACTATATTGGGGACCCCAAAAGGGACCCTAATTTAGAGAACTACCCATATTATTTTGGCCTGAAAGTAGTCCCTATCCTCATATATAGGAACCTACGGGGCGAAGTTCCGACTGTTACGATACATGGACCTTTTTTCAGGAAATTAGTACGAATGAAGATGTCGAGGAGGACACAGGGTAATCATGTTGCAGACCATCTTGTTACTTGCTGTTGCGGTGTTTAATCTTCCTGCCGCGGCCATGGCAGTGTAAATGCGGCTTGTGATCTTGAGACAACATGTTTTAAGGATTTTCTGAATCATCTCCTGGCTTGTACATCATGGGCTACCCTCCCGTGGGAAATCCGCTGTATCGGCTCCCTTGGCGAGTTGCGCAGTGCTAATTCACATCCACCTCGTGCTACAAACGCCGGGTGTGGTGCGCCTGCTTGCCCCATCAAGCCTAAACGTCTTGAAACCCCTAAACCTAGGCATTGAACCCTAAACCCTACCTGATCCCTAAACCCCTAAACCCTGAACGGAAAGCAATCGACGAGTAAGCTCGCTGCTCTGAGTGAGCAGTGTTATGGAGCAGAAGGCCATGTTTAGTTCTGGTTCTATGAAAGGTGTTCTGGTGAACTATGTCCCATTACTCAAAATACTGTTATGGAGCAGAAGGCCATGTTTAGTTCTGGTTCTGTGAAAGGTGTTCTGGTGAACTATGTCCCATTACTCAAAATACTGTATATATTGGTCTTAAAGTCGTCCCTATTTACTGTAGGTACTTTGGGGCAAAACCCTATAGGGCCCTTACGGCTTAGGGCTTTGGCTTTAGGGTTTAGGGTTTGGGGGTTTGGGTTTAGGGTTCAGGGTTTGGGGTTTAGGGTTTTGGGTTTTGGGTTTAGGGCTTTGGGTTTAGGGTTTAGGGTGCCCGTATAAGCGGTTCTATACAGGTGACTTTACCAGCGGAAGCAGGGGCCTTGATTTAGAGAACTACCCATATACTACAAGGGCACATGGAGCCTCAGGGGGCGTGTTGACAAAAGGAAGTACATCAGTGTATCAGACATCAACAACCAGAGGGTCCATACACACTGCCAGTATGGAATTGGGCCATAATAAAAACACATCCTCAAAATGCTTCTGGGGACCTAATTCCACAATAGTAGTATATATGGGACTTCTAGGACAAACACAACACGGGAGTCAGGAACGACACGTTGAGCAGGTTCATGTATATAAAGACTCCTTCGTGCGATTGTGCTCAACAAAGGAGCCACCCGAAGGATCAACGTCATGCTCGATCTAATTGTGCTGCTTTCAAGACAGAGATCTTAGCACAAGAGTCTTGAACCCCGGCGCATGTCAGGTAGATCAGAAAGTGGCTTGTACTACCTCCGACTCAATCCTCCGACCTAGGTTTGAGTTAAGCGTAAGGGCCTACACCCCGAACCCCAAAACCCTGAACCTTACACCTCAAACCCTATAAGGTGAAGCGAGTATACGCCAGCAGCTGCTGGAAGAAGGCGGCAGGTTGCAAAATGCCGTCGCCAAGGTGCATCGCCAGAATCGGGGAAACGGACAACGAAGCAGCCTAAAGCCTAAATGGCCCGAAATCCTAAACCCTAAATCCCTAACCCCAAACCCCTAAACCCTAAACCCCCTGCAAATGTTGCATTTATCCTGCAAATAGCACTAGGTCATGGCCACTAAACACAGCGCGTAAACTTCGAACTTGGTCAAGGCCCAAATCAATCAATCCGAAATCCTAAACCCGAAACCAAAGCTTACCTCCCTAAACCCTAAACCCTAAATCCCTAAACCCTAAACCCTAAACCCTTAAACCCTAAACCCCTAAATCCCTAAACCCCTAAACCCTATCCAGGGACAGGGATCGGATCCGATCCTCCGAGCTTCGAGGCACTTGTCGCGATCGACCCACAGGTTAGTTCTGAATCGGGGCATCTTGATTTAAGGGTTTAGGGTTTAAGGGTTTAGGGGTTTAGGGTGTAAGGGTTTAGGGTTTGGGGTTTAGGGTTTGGGGTTTAGGGTTCAGGGTTTAGGGTTTTGGGGTTCAGGGTTTGGGGTTTCGGGTTTTTGGTTTAGGGTTTAGGGTTTTGGGTTTAGGTTTGGGGTTTTGGGTT